GCGCTGATTCAGTCGGTTTCAGGGATCCGGTGGGAATTGGGCCATCAGGGTTGGGAATCTGGCCATCTAGGGTGGAAATTGGGGTAATTGGGCCATCTAGGGTGGTAATTGGGGTAATTGGGCCATCTAGGGTGGTAATTGGGGTAATTGGGCCATCTAGGGTGGTAATTGGGGTAATTGGGCCATCTAGGGTGGTAATTGGGGTAATTGGGCCATCTAGGGTGGTAATTGGGGTAATTGGGCCATCTAGGGTGGAAATTGGGGTAATTGGGCCATCTAGGGTGGTAATTGGGGTAATTGGGCCATCTAGGGTGGTAATTGGGGTAATTGGGCCATCTAGGGTGGTAATTGGGGTAATTGGGCCATCTAGGGTGGTAATTGGGGTAATTGGGCCATCTAGGGTGGTAATTGGGGTAATTGGGCCATCTAGGGTGGTAATTGGGGTAATTGGGCCATCTAGGGTGGTAATTGGGGTAATTGGGCCATCTAGGGTGGTAATTGGGGTAATTGGGCCATCTAGGGTGGTAATTGGGGTAATTGGGCCATCTAGGGTGGTAATTGGGGTAATTGGGCCATCTAGGGTGGTAATTGGGGTAATTGGGCCATCTAGGGTGGTAATTGGGGTAATTGGGCCATCTAGGGTGGTAATTGGGGTAATTGGGCCATCTAGGGTGGTAATTGGGGTAATTGGGCCATCTAGGGTGGTAATTGGGCCATCTAGGGTGGTAATTGGGCCATCTAGGGTGGTAATTGGGCCATCTAGGGTGGTAATTGGGCCATCTAGAGTGGTAATTGGGTCATCTAAGTTGGAAATTCTGACATCTAAGTTGGTAATTCTGACATCTAGGGTTGGAATTTGACCATCTAGTTGGGAATCGGGCCATCTACGGGGAAATCTGGCAATTAGAGCGACGCCGGAGACAGTTGAAGTCTATTTAGACGGCTAGAATGTGTCTTGTTTAAAAGGCCATAATTAGACCAGACAGTTTGTGTTGGGTGGTAATTAGACTAGGAAGTTTGTCAAGGGCGTTAATTAGACTAGGAAGTTTGTTAAGGGCGGTAATTAGACCAGACAACCAAGTAAACTCCATGTTCTAACGACACAACGCTCCGCCAACCCTACACACCATCCCTGGCAGCACCAATACCTACAGCAACACAAACTCACATGTAAGGTGTTTTACAGCCTCGATACAACAGGTAGATAATTTTAAATCGATTCCACCCCCGGGCCGCTCGGTCATCAATGTACCTGTGGTTATAGATCTGCTCGCTGCTCGGTCATCAATGTACCTGTGGTTATAGATCTGCTCGCTGCTCGGTCATCAATGTACCTGTGGTTATAGATCTGCTCGCTGCTCGGTCATCAATGTACCTGTGGTTATAGCTCGGTCATCAATGTACCTGTGGTACGCTGCTCGAGAGAAATGCCGTCGAGTGCAGGACAGCCTGCTAGACAGATGCACTTGCCGGCAAGACAGATGCACTTGCCGACAAGACAGATGCACTTGCCGGCAAGACAGATGCACTTGCCGGCAAGACAGATGCACTTGTCTGCTAGACAGATGCACTTGTCTGCTAGACAGATACACTTGTTCCGCTGCGTAAAACAGCCAGTCTACACAGCTGAACACATCACGCACTTCGTCCATTCTTTAATGCATCGTCGGCTGTTGTATCTCTCCCCCGCAGTTAACTTATCCCCCCCCCCAGTGTCCTACCTCTAAAACAGGTCTTGTCTCTTCCTATCCTCAACCATGACCTATTCCCATACAATGACCTTCTACTAGGATCTGCATTTTCTTGCCCTCAAGAAAGACATTCTCGTCAGCAGCATTTTTAAAGACCTGTTGTCTGCTTACCCCTGTCTTCAAGAATGACCTACTGTAAATGATGACCTACTACTAACACCTGTCTTATTATGCTTTCCAAAATGACCTGGTTGACACATTGATCATTGCCACACCAACAAGTTCCCCACGCCAACCAGTTCCCCACACCAACCAGTTCCCCACACCAACCAGTTCCCCACACCAACCAGTTCCCCACACCAACCAGTTCCCCACACCAACCAGTTCCCCACACCAACCAGTTCCCCACACCAACCAGTTCCCCACACCAACCAGTTCCCCACACCAACCAGTTCCCACACCAACCAGTTCCCCACACTAACCAGTTCCCCACACCAACCAGTTCCCCACACCAACCAGTTCCCCACACCAACCAGTTCAACAATGATCTGTTCCCCATGCTGACACCCTTTCACAATGACCCCCCCCCCCCCCATCAACCAGTCTAACGCGGCATCCTGCGCCCAATACCTCCCATCCTCCACACCGCCCTACGGCTAAGACATGTTAGCGCCACCCATTGCCCCCCCCCCCCCTCCCCCAGCTAAACTAGAGCAAACACCTCAAGTCACAGGTAGTTAACAGTCCACACAATCTCAGGTGCAAATGTCACTGACTCCAACAGTGACAAACTTTCAAGAAACTCGTTACCCTTGACCTTTCACCTCCAACGTCAATTTAGTTTCCAGCACTAAGGGATGACCCTTTGTGCTGGTGGGCGACTAATTGTTCGGTATGTCGCGCGCCAATTAGCCCATGGCAATACTTGGGGATTCCTTCAGCTTGTAATTAGTTAGACGCTAATACACAAGTTAGACACACCGGGACGATGAAAGGGATAGCTGTTTTTTAATCAGTTCTACTGTCATCAAGTTCTATTATCATCAAATTTACTGGCATCTGTTTACTGTCATCATGTTATCGATATCAAGTATTACTGTCATTAGATTTACTGTCATCATGTTATTGCTATCAAGTATTACTGTCATTAGATTTACTGTCATCATGTTATTGATATCAAGTATTACTGTCATTAGATTTACTGCCATCAAGCAAAAAACGTCATTTTTCCCCATCAGGTCTATCCATTATCAAGTGTATCCATAACCAAGATTATTCTTTTATCATCCTTCAAGGCGTGTCTGTCATCCGTCAAGATCTGTTAGACAATACATATGTTCTAAGAATACTGATAGTGCAAACAATGACCTACCATTTTTATTTTCTTATCTGCCAAAGCCCTGTTATGATGACTGTCATACTAAGGGTCAGGATATGGGTTAGTTACAAGGTTAGAGTTAATCCTAGTGATAAGGCAAGGATTAGAAAAGTGTGATTAAACTTAGCAAATAACTATAGCTTCCACACGACTCTAAAAATACCAATGTTATGGTAAAAAATTTGTTTTAGTAGGATAATCGTCAGTGCAGAGCTTAACTTTTCTTAAAACCCATTCTTTTGTATCCTGCTGTTTTCCTATTATTAGATTTTTCATTGAATTTTCAGAAAAAAATTTAATTGACCGGCATTCGAATACTCAAATATAAATATAGAGAAAATAGCTAACGAAAATAACAATGCGTGTAAAATGTTAAAGCAATTATCTACATGCGATTTAGCGTTGGTGTTTTGGTTAGGTTTTAAATTGATGGCTAAAACCTAGAGAAAGAGCAGGTAAAACACAGGTGGGTCTATCAAGATGGCTGGGCGTTGACAGACTGGTGAGCTGACTTAGCAGACGTGGGCCGTTTTATTGTACTCGCGGTGTGTCACGTGGTTTTGTTTACATCGGCTCATCAACTGCACGGGCATTGCATTAACACGTCTGTTGGTTTGAGTGTATGTTCTAGAACACAATTTGAATTGGCGGACAACATAGATGTCACTCCCCCCCCCCCCCCCCCAAACTTCAAGCCCCTTTTACGGATTAGTTTGAAAAAGTGTTATGGTTACTCAAGTTAGATGATTTCTGTTTTAAAGAAAGTGCTACAGTTACAGATAATTCAAATTACTGATTTAAATGCGTTTATATATATATATATATATATATATATATATATATATATATATATATATATATATATATATATATATATATATATCTTATTGCTCCCTTAATAAACTAATATTCGGTGTAAGCGGTACAGCGTACTTTTCTCCAATTGTTTTACCACTTGTGGCGCTGTTCAGATGTAGACTATTGTTTGTCTTAAGGAGGGAAATCAGATCGTAAGGCTCCGATAAGACATATGGTCCCAGGTCTGTGGGTTGGTTTAGACCCACCCCCCCCCCCCTGTCTGTGAGCTACCTGTAGGAGTGTTACCTGTCTGTGTTACCTGCCTGTGTTACCTGTCTTTGTTACCTGTCTGTGTTACCTGTCTGTGTTACCTGTCTATGTTACCTGTCTGTGTTACTTCCCTGTTTGTAACACGTTAGTTACCTGTCTGTGTTACCTGTCTTACCTGTCTGTCTTGTCAGTCTTTGCGCTACCTGCCGGACTGTTACATGTGAATTACCTGTCTCTATACCTGTCCGTGTTACCTGCCTGTATGCAAGTCTGTTACCTGTGTATGCATTACCTTTGTCACCTGTCTATGCTTAATGTCTTTATCTCCTTCCATTGATCACACAACACAAAAATATTCCACCATCTGTTCTCTCCACATTTCAATACAATATAATGACTGTATAAAATATTCTCATTAATTAACTTAAGATGCCTATAAAACTAATTAACAGAACAACATAAGCTATGTAGTGTTATGTAATAGAAAATTCTTATAACCTTATCCATCTTTGCAATTATTTTCAGATTTCACCGCCATGGGCTAGACACATAGCTGGATTTTAAACTCTGGATACACGTACTAAGTGTAAGATGGATACACCACGTCATTACACGCACCACACCTGGTGCCACCACTGAAATTTTGTATCACCTGTGTGGCTGATCACCTTTTTCACAAATTACCAGTGGCGATGATCACCTATTTCACAAGTCATATGAGTGATTGATCACCTATTTCACCAGTCACCAGTGGGGTTGATCACACATTTCACAAGTCATCTCAGTGATTGATTACCTATTTCACAAGTCACCAGTTGTGTTGATCACCTAAAGGGTTGTCACCTATTTAAAGTCAACTCAAGTCATCTGAGTGATTGATCACCTATTTCACAAGTCACCTGTGTTGTTGATCACCTATTTCATTATAACATCCCGGATACTAGAGCAGCAGGAAGTGACGTCATTAAGACCACCTCCATGTGTTTGTCGTTTAGAATTAAAACAACATCACATTACTAATTGGCTAGATCTGTGTAAAGACAGGCTGCCTGTGTGTAAGATACCCTGCAGGTCAGGAATCTACTTCCGTGTACTTCTATTGGATACGTGTGCTGTGTGCAAGATGTCGAACAATGGTCAAGGCTTATGATGACCAGCGTGTAAGGGTGTCAGCTGACAACATGCTCCTCTATGTGCTGGCCACTTGTTGTCTGCTCGCTTCTCTGACACACGCAGGTGAGTACCTCTTTTGTCATGCATGTTGGCTCTTCATGCTCTTTGATGTGCTGCACTGGCCTACAAAACTAACCTACAACACGGAACTATAGTATTGACCTACAGCACTGACATACAATACTGATCTGCAATAATGACCTACACATACTGACCTACAATAATGACCTACAATAATGACCTACAATACTTACCTACAATACTGACCTACATTACTGATATACAATACTGACCTACAAAACTGACCAATAAAATTGATTTACACTACTGACCTACAACAGGGAAGTATAGTACAGACCAACAATATTGACCTAATCTGCCACTCACTGCCTACAATGCACATGTTAAAGAAATAACTGTATAGGCAGAACTGTAATCAATGTGATACTGAGTGCTCCCAACATACAAAAAACAAAACAAAACAAAAAAAAAACAATACGGAGAGCTTTTAAACGCTGAATCTCACCATTTTTTAACACGCAGCCATTTGTCATCCTTTACACCCGTGTACCCGCTAATGGCTGATGTTTCTCTGATGCTACAGCGGCTAAATCTACCCCAGCTATTCCCACACTCACCCCATCCCACCAGCTTATGGCTTATGTTTCTTTGATGCTACAGCGGCTAAATCTACCCCCGCTATTCCCACACTCACCCCATCCCACCAGCTTATGGCTTATGTTTCTTTGATGCTACAGCGGCTAAATCTACCCCCGCTATTCCCACACTCACTCCATCCCACCAGCTATCAACTTGGGCTACATCGGTTTGTAGCGGTCTTAATCCATTACATGTCTAATGTTTGGTGGGTCTAGGACCGGTCTTAATCCATTACATGTCTAATGTTTGGTGGGTCTAAAAACGGTCTTAATCCAGTTTATTGCAAATGTTTAATGTCTTTTAAACAGTTTTTAATCACTTACATAACTTAAGTTTGGTGGGTCTATAAAAACAGGTCTCATTCTATCACATAACTATCAACCAAGGCTAGATTTGTATAATAAAAAACTTGTCTCATCATATCGCATAACTATCAACCAAGGCTAGATTTGTATAATAAAAAACTTGTCTCATCATATCACATAACTATCAACCAAGGCCAGGCATGCCTAAAAACGGCCTGACAATGCCATCTAACGCTCGCCCTGGATGAGACCTTCCTTTCACTGGATGCCACAACCCCTGCCAGACCGGAAGTAGCCAGATAAGTCCCAATCACCTGAGACCGTTAATTGGTGGAACCGTACACAATTTTAACGCCCTTGATGACGTGCAGATGCAGATATACCCCAGACTTTATCGCCAGTACTGTCCTGCCCTGCTCTTTGATTCCCGGAATATATGCCCAGCTTCCTGCGATTGAAAGACATCTTTCATGAAATATGTTCTCGTTTTTGGCTTCTAGACGTCGGCTCTACTGCTCATTTGTTTGCCGCTATCGTCGCAGATTTCATCAGTCGAAAGATGAGCGAGATAATAAATAACATGAGCACTGTTCACCCAAGTCCGCTGCCGGCCGGCGGAAGATATGTTATTAGCAAGACAATTCCTGGTCGGGAAAAACCACGGGTAGAATATCAGGATTGTGTGCCGGCTTAATGCGTAATGTCAAAATAAAAACATGTTATTAAGACAGTAATTTACGTCTAAAACATAGCTTTTCAAATTGGCGAGGTTTTTTTTTTAAATTATTTTTAAAAAAAAAACAAGATTTTGACTGTTATTAATGTTTTTGTTTTAATCTAGAGAACTTTCAAATAATCTTTTTATCAATATTTTAAACAAAGGCGGATTTGTTTGTTTGTTTATTTTTAAACTTCCGCAAGATTGGAATGTTGTTTTGTCGTGGCTGGGGCGATTTTAAATTTTGTTAAAATGCTGTTTAGGTGTGCTTTAGATGAGGTTTAGATGTGGCTAATACATGGTCAGTTTAGTGAGGTGTGGTTAAATGTGGTTTAGGTGTGATTTGAGTGTGGTTAGGAACATGTAAAGTTGTGTAATCTTCGTGTGTATGTGATTTTTAACTTTGTATTAATCTAAAGCAGGTAATCGTGTCAGAAACTTTGTGGTTGAGTGCCATTTAAGCTGCAACTAAACAATGAAATATTGTAATAAAACTGTGGTGTTCTTAGATGCCTTTGTGTATGTTTTAATACCATGAATCGCTTAAAACGGCATGCGGAAAATATTTAACGAACAAAATCTGGTTCGGACAAGTCAACTGGTTAACTACGTAATATCCAGCTTTGTTAGTCTTACTAGATAAAAATTTGTTTTAATGAAACAAACATTAAAGGCTACACAATGCTTGATACCCACATCACAAAACTGATATTATGTTTACGAAAATGTAGCACGCTTAACAAAAACATCATACATCAAAGGTAATTTATTTTTATCAAATAGAAACAGAATTTTAATTTTTTTAATCAGATTAGTTGCAGTGGAACATACGTTGAACTTTGAGACTACCAGAATGTTAGCCCTAAACAGGTTATAATCTGCACTGTGTCATTGTAAAAGTGGCGAAAGTAGGTCAGATTGGGTAGTTTTAAATACATCAGTCCGCGAGTCTATGTCGGACTTTACTTAAGGCGATATACGAAGTTCTGGGACATTGTTTTCCTTGTGTTTATTTCATTCAGTAGAACGATCACATTTCTCAGTATAACCAATGTGTGCGTGATGCAAAGTCTACTGCTTGTGTGTCAAGCCAGTCGGCCTATTGTTTGTGTTGTCAAGCCAGTCGGCCTATTGTTTGTGTTGTCAAGCCAGTCGGCCTATTGCTTGTCAAACCAGTCGGCCTATTGTTTGTGTTGTCAAGCCAGTCGGCCTATTGCTTGTCAAGCCAGTCGGCCTATTGCTTGTCAAGCCAGTCGGCCTATTGCTTGTGTTGTCAGGCCAGTCGGCCTATTGCTTGTCAAGCCAGTCGGGCTATTGTTTGTGTTGTCAAGCCAGTCGGCCTATTGCTTGTCAAGCCAGTCGGCCTATTGCTTGTCAAACCAGTCGGCCTATTGTTTGTGTTGTCAAGCCAGTCGGCCTATTGCTTGTCAAGCCAGTCGGGCTATTGCTTGTGTTGTCAGGCCAGTCGGCCTATTGCTTGTCAAGCCAGTCGGCCTATTGTTTGTGTTGTCAAGCCAGTCGGCCTATTGCTTGTCAAGCCAGTCGGCCTATTGCTTGTCAAACCAGTCGGGCTATTGCTTGTGTTGTCAGGCCAGTCGGCCTATTGTTTGTGTTGTCAAGCCAGTCGGCCTATTGCTTGTCAAGCCAGTCGGCCTATTGTTTGTGTTGTCAAGCCAGTCGGCCTATTGCTTGTCAAGCCAGTCGGCCTATTGCTTGTCAAGCCAGTCGGGCTATTGCTTGTGTTGTCAGGCCAGTCGGCCTATTGCTTGTCAAGCCAGTCGGCCTATTGTTTGTGTTGTCAAGCCAGTCGGCCTATTGCTTGTGTTGTCAAGCCAGTCGGCCTATTGTTGTTAAGCCAGTCGGCCTATTGTTTGTGTTGTCAAGCCAGTCTGCCTATTGTTGTCAAGCCAGTCGGCCTATTGTTTGTGTTGTCAAGCCAGTCGGCCTATTGTTGTCAAGCCAGTCGGCCTATTGCTTGTGTTGTCAAGCCAGTCGGCCTATTGTTGTCAAGCCAGTCGGCCTATTGCTTGTCAAACCAGTCGGCCTATTGTTTGTGTTGTCAAGCCAGTCGGCCTATTGCTTGTCAAGCCAGTCGGGCTATTGCTTGTGTTGTCAGGCCAGTCGGCCTATTGCTTGTCAAGCCAGTCGGCCTATTGTTTGTGTTGTCAAGCCAGTCGGCCTATTGCTTGTGTTGTCAAGCCAGTCGGCCTATTGTTGTCAAGCCAGTCGGCCTATTGTTGTCAAGCCAGTCTGCCTATTGTTGTCAAGCCAGTCGGCCTATTGTTTGTGTTGTCAAGCCAGTCGGCCTATTGTTGTCAAGCCAGTCGGCCTATTGTTTGTGTTGTCAAGCCAGTCGGCCTATTGTTGTCAAGCCAGTCGGCCTATTGCTTGTCAAGACAGTTGACCTATTGCTTGTCAAGACAGTCGACCTATTGCTTGTCAAGGCAGTCGGCCTATTGCTTGTGTTGTCAAGCCAGTCGGCCTATTGTTGTCAAGCCAGTTGACCTATTGTTGTCAAGCCAGTCGGCCTATTGCTTGTGTTGTCAAGCCAGTCGGCCTATTGTTGTCAAGCCAGTCGGCCTATTGCTTGTCAAGACAGTTGACCTATTGCTTGTCAAGACAGTCGACCTATTGCTTGTCAAGGCAGTCGGCCTATTGTTGTCAAGCCAGTCGGCCTATTGCTTGTCAAGACAGTCGACCTATTGCTTGTGTTGTCAAGCAAGTCGGCCTATTGTTTGTGTTGTCTTAAAGATGAACGTTATCGGCTGATTAGCCAACAATGTCAGCAATGTGTGGAGATAATGACATCAATACCTGGATGGTGGCCGTTATCTCCAGGTATGTGGGACACACCAGGCTCTAGACATTCTTCAAACATCAAATAGTAACTGCGGTGGTCGGGTGGTAACATCATGTATTATTATTATAAATGAGAGTTGCTTTTTTATATTTTGTATCACGGGTGTCTGACTTTCCACCCCTTCCTCCCACAGCACACCACGCACACCTACCTCCCGCATCCTATTTCCCGCATCCTATTTCCCACATCCCACCTCCCACCTCCCACACCCCACCTCCCACACCCCATCTTCCACATCCCACACCCCACTTCCAATTTCAATTCCTCCTCCCCTATCCCCCCCTAGTTAAATGACACTGTGAACATACAGCCCAGGTGTTGAGACCATCACCTGAGATAGCCTTTCTGTCCTACCTACCGCCTAACGTAATGAACGATAAAAAATAAACACACAAAAAAGGTTGAAATAGAAACTCGATAATAAGGAAGTTGTTTGTTAAGAAATATAATAAGTTTTTATAAAGTCAAATCGTAGGCGTTCCCATCTCCCTCCACCTTTACGTTAATGTCATCTGCCCCA